TCTCTATCTCTGTCCCTCTGTCTCTATATCTCTCTCTGTCTCTGTTGCTTGGTCTCTGTCTGTCTCTCTGTCTCCATCTATCTTTGTTTTTCTATCTCTGGCTATGTGTCTCTCTCTGTCTCCCTGTCTCTCTCTCTGTCTCTGTCTATCTTTGTTTTTCTATCTCTGGCTATGTGTCTCCGTGTCTCTCTCTGTCTCTATCTCTATCTCTGTCTCTCTATATATCTCTCTCTGTCTCTGTTGCTTGATCTCTGTCTCTCTGTCTCTCTCTCTATCTCTGTCTCTCTGTCTCTATATCTCTGTCTGTCTCTGTTGCTTGGTCTCTCTCTGTCTCTGTCTCTGTTGGTCTCTCTCTGTCTCTATCTTTGTTTTTCTATCTCTGGCTACGTGTCTCCGTGTCTCTCTCTGTCTCTGTCTCTCTGTCTCTATATCTCTCTCTGTCTCTGTTGCTTGGTCTCTCTCTGTCTCTGTCTATCTTTGCTTTTCTATCTCTGACTCTGTGTCTCTGTGTCTCCCTCTGTCTCTATCTCTGTCTCTCTCTGTCTTTATCTCTGTCTCTCTCTCTGTGTCTCTGTCTCTATACCTCTCTGTCTCTAAGTCTCTGTGTCTCTCCCCACCGGGTTCCCCCCCGTCTTGAGCTGGCGACTAGGGAGGAGGCGCTGGCAGCTGTGCGTGTCCCTGTGTGTGCTCCACAGCCACCCAGTAGGCGAGGGGCGCCCCTCCTTCTAGAAGGTTCCCAGCTAACCTGTGAAGGAGGGAAGGAAACCAGGGACCCACCTTGGAGTCCCCGTGAGACAGTGCCCAGCCAGGGGTCCCACCTTCGGGGTGCCTGGGATCTCCGGTGCCCGGCCGCACCCTGACCGGCCCCGTCAGCGCCTGGCACTTCCTCTGCCCCGGTGACCCAGTGGGCATGTCTGGGGCTGTGGCTGGGCAGCGGTTGCCCGTGGCCACCAGCACCCGAACCTGTGGCTCCGTGAGCTCCGCAGAGAGAGCCGGCGGCTCACCCCCGGGACCGGGTCTGATGAGACACTCGGGCTGCCTGGTGGCCCCGGGTGCAGCCCCAGCCCCGGCAGGACAGGAGCAGGGTGGGGGCCGCAGGGGCCCTGAGGACACGGTGCTGTGACGAGTGTGCCCGGGGTCCGTGGGTGTGGTGGGGGTGGGGTCTCGCCCTCGCCACCCACTGTGGGTGCCGGCCCTCCCTCAGTGGGGACAGAGGGTGACCTGGGCAGGGACGAGTGACACTGAGCAGCACCCTTAGTGTGACAGGAACAGGGGCTGCTTTCAGAGCTGCCTCATGGTTCAGTGGTGCACACTGAAGGTTTAAGATGAAATTTTGTGATATCCGGGACTGCCGGGGCGTGGACAGGCCGGGCGTGGGCACCCTTGTGGTGGGCGGTGGGCGCGCGGGTGCGTCCTCACCTGTCCCGTCCCCGTCCCACGCTTCAGTGTTGGCCCAACCACACCCTGAGCCCTCGGGGTCCCCATCACCCGGTGTTCCAGACGGGCTGCGAGTGCGTGACCAGCGCGGGAGGAGGCGCTGGAGGGACACGGAGCACACACGGGACCCTGGCCCCGTGTCCTCAGCCGCGCTGTGCACGTTCGAAGCAGAGCGAGAACCCTAGTGAGGAACACAGTCGGAGGACCAGCACCGTCCGCCCTCAGGGCTGGCCTGCAGGAATCGGGACAGTGCGGACGTGGGGAAGGGACAGACAGCAAGGTGACCAGAGCAAGACAGAGTCCCAGACAGACCCACACGCACACAGCCAGCTGATCTTAACGAAGGAGCAAAGTAAATTCAGTGGAGAAAGGACAGTCTTTCACCCAAGGACACTGAACACCGGGACCTCCCCCTGCGAAGTGATGAATCTCACAGAAATGAACTCAGAGTGGGTCTCAGCCCAAATGCAAACCACAAAACTGTGAAACTTCGGGAAGACAGCAGCAGAAAACCCACAGGATCTTGGGTTTGGCAATGAGTGTTTAGATACCATGCTGAAAGCACAATACACGGAAAAGAAAAGTTCATTAGTTGAACTTTTATTAAAGTGCATAAAACATGTGCTCTGTGAGGACACTGTTAGGAGAATGAAAAAGACAGGCCGCAGACTGGGATAAAATATATGCAAAATACACACCCGACAAAGGACTTCATCTAAGACACGCAAAGAATCGTTCGTTGAAAATTTGTTTTCTTAATGGAGTTCCGTAAATCCTGTAGGCTTTCTTCATTCTTTTATATTCTTTTTTCTTTTTCTCGTCTGCCTGTATTATTTCAAAAGACCTGTCTTCAAGTTCAGAAATTCTCTCTTCTGCTTGGCTAGCTTGTTGTAGAAGCTCTTGATTATAATTTTTATTT